GGAGATCAATCGTATCTCCTCAGAGATTTGGCTGATCCGAAAAATCCCCAAGATTCAGATCGTAACAGGCGGATATGTTCCCTAGCCTGTCCACATCAACTTGTCATTATGACCACATCTGTCAGGTCGTCACAAAGGCAGTAGCTGAGATTTAATTGATTCAAAAAATCCCCATGATTCATATCGTAACAGGTCGATCTATTCCCTGTTTGTCACGCCCCAAAACCCAAATTCGAGGCGCGACAGATGCCGTGCACAAGTGAGAAGGTCCCACAAATGCACAAGGCTTGGAACTTATCCAATTCACATCTGATACCATCAAAATCTGAGGATCAAGTTTTTAAAATTTACTCCGATATCATAAATCTCCAAAGACACTCTGGTTTACAAAATCATGATTTATTTCTAAAATCTCTATAAATCTCGAAATGGCTAGCCTTTTAACTCGTCACTTCCCGTGGTTTCCCCGTCCTCGATTTCGCTTTCTGAAATGGTGGACAAGGAAAACTATGAGATAAAATCAGTAAGTAAATATGGAGTGCCCTTATTAAACTTATAGCATGCCAACAAGTGCAATCATGAAAAACGAATACAGTATGGGAACGAAATAGACGTCTCCTCTATAGGCCATGGCCAGTGTTTAAACCTCCCACTAGCAGGCTACACTATTTGCTGGTGTATAACCCCCACTAGCAAGGTTGAACGAACCGGTTCTATCAATAACATGTCGACATGTGCTAGCGTTTAACCCCCACTAGCAGGATCATCAATAACATAACCACATCGGAGACAAAACAGGCAAAAGTTAACAGAAAAATCATAATTCACCAATCGCTTGCAAATCATCAGGACAATCAATTAAACTTTCAAGTAGGCATGCTCAATTTAATGAAAAGCATAAAAATTTCAGGTCAAATCAGTCATGCTCGTGTAAAACGAGTTTAGTCCCGCCACCACTTCAAAAACAAGTCAAAACATGCTTTTAAAAACTGTATCGGCATTACCATAAATTTACTTACCTCACTCACATAAAATTGAGCACTCAATTCACGTACTAAAGCACCCCAAGGATCAAGAACCTAATCAAATATTCAAGAATTAATTCCGTACTATCACAATTTCACACTGAAATCATCATTAAGACTACCCTTAATCACGATGCTATTTCCTATCAATCTCCA